GGGAGAAGGAGAGAAGCAGATTCCTGGCTGACCACGGAGCCCAATGCAGGGCTCCATCTCACGATCCTGAAATCATGACCTGAGCTGAAATCAAGAGTCAGACACTTAACTGGCGGAGCCACCCAGGCGCCCCATTTTATTATTTTTTAAATTTTATTATTATTATTTTTAGTGCTGCCTTTTTTTAGAAGCACTTATTTGGTGTTTGCTTTTTCATGGAACTCTGCCTTCTTTGTATCTCTGTCATCTAACATGGCACCTAGAGCATAATTGGTGCTCAGCATATGTTTGCCGAGCTAACAGGTATTAGCCCTTGCTCTCCATGGCCTGTTACATGAGATCTGCCCTTGCTCTTCCTTCAGTTATGTTGCAGTTCAGAAAGAAGATTTAATTGTATCTAATTGGAAATTCTGACCACTTTTCCTGGAACTTGACAAGTAGATTCTAGAATTTTTTTTTTAAAGATTTTATTTATTTATATGAGAGAGAGAGAGAGAGCATGCACACAAGCAGGGGGAGAGGCAGGTAGAGGGAGAGGGAGAAGCAGACTCCCTGCTGAGCAGGGAGCCCGACGTGGGGCTCAATCCCAGGATCCTGAGATCATGACCCGAACCGAAGGCAGACGCCTAACGAATGAGCCACCCAGGCGCCCCAGATTCTAGAATTTATATGTAAGAGAAAGGTCAAGAATATTTGGGTCAAGACAATTGTAAAGTAAAAGAATGAAGTTGGAGGTACTTGTCTTATATGATAGTAAATATATATGGTATGGTATTAGTATAGTGATAGAGAAAGAGATCAATGAAACAAATATAGAGTTTAGAAATGGAGCCTCAAGTGGCAGATTGGATAGGTGTTCACCAAATGATTCCCTTTTTCTCCTGGGCATAAACTAAACTACATTTCCTAGCCATTGGACTCATGGCAGAAGTGTTACACCCGACTTCCAGGCCTGACCCAAAAAATCCTTCCATGAATAATTCATTTTCTCCCCATATGCCAACTGCATATTAATGTCTCTTGAGAACCCCAGAGTAGGGCAAGAACACAAGATGGAAGGAGCCAGAGTCCCTGAGTTCTTGCCTGGAGTAGAGCTCCCCAGGATGGCAGATTATCCAGATTACCGGTGTGAGATGATTCATGATTGAGAGATAAACTTTTGTTATGTTAAATTACTGAAAAAAATTTTAAAGATTTTATTTATTTATTTGAGAGAGAACGAGCAGAGGGGAGGGGGGAGGGACAGAGGGAGAGAGAGAAGCAGGCTCCCCGCTGAGCAGGGGCCAGACATGGGGCTCAATCCCAGGACCCTGGGATCATGACCTGAGCTAAAGGCAGACGCTTTACCGACTGAGCTACCCAGGCGCCCCATTAAATTACTGAAATTTGGGGGTTGTTAGCTTACTCTAATAATCAGGCCTGTATGGAACCTTGACACACAACAGCTGGTAGTCAGATATTGCAGAGAAGATGGACTGTCCAATGTACAGGGCTGGGATAATTGGCGGTCTATATAGAAAACAGCAACAAGAAATCCAGCCCCTACTCCATGCTCCATTCCAGGTGGATTAGTGATCTAATGTGAACAACAAAGTTTTAAACCTTTTAGAAGAATACGTAGGAGAACATCTTTATTATCTCAGGTAGACAATGAAAAGCTAAGACACATAACGTACAAATCAAGTGGGAAAAGACTGAGAAAAATCAACTACATTAAAATGAAAGACTTCTGAATAAAGGCACCACTGTGGAAGCTAGTCAAAGACTGGGAGAGCATTTGAAATATATACCAAGAAAGGATCAGTATCCGGAATAAAAAAAAAAAAAAAAAAAACTACCTGTCAATTAGAAAAGCAAAATACTTCAGTAGAAAAATGGGCAGAGGTTATGAGCGGGTATCTTATGGAAGAAAAAAATTGAATATGAAAAAAGTGTTCCACCTCACTGCCTGTCAGAGATCTAGAAATTAAAATGAATTTCATAATTAAAGTCTGACAGTCACTACCTGTGGTGGGTGCGAATTGCAACAAGCAATCTGGAAAGCTGTTTTGATATCATGCTCATGCCCTGGGTCCTAACAGTTTCACTCGTAGTGGAACCTGCAATGTTCGATACTCTCAAGCGTGATGGTCCCTTATGTCCTGATTCTCCCCTTTTCCTGTGTCTCAACTAGTTCATCCTATGTTTTGAAGGACAATCACACTGTATCTCTTTAGTCTTCCATCCTGCAGTTGCTGTCAGATTTATTTCAATCCTTTCCTTTCTTCTCACTTGGAGCAGTGCATCTGAAATTAATCCCTGGATACATTGGAGGTTCCCATGAAAAACTGATTTGCTGTAATGACCAACCGCTGAACTGAAAACTAGCCTGTGTGTGTTCGTAACTAACACAGAAGAGCTCACTCTGCACCAGACACCACTCTTTTCTTGTCCTGACTCTTGCTTTAACATTTAAAAATTCACATTTAAAAAAAGAGCATTAGCTCTTTTCCTTCCCACAATGGCTCTGTGAGGTCCATGCTCAGTATCCGTGCTTGCAGACGAAGAAACGGAGGGGCAGAGAGGTGGGAGGTGGAGGAGGGGGTGCGCACACCCTGGCTGTTCTGCTCCTCGGGCTGCACCATTTATCCAGGTGATAACCTGGATCATTCGGGCCAGATTTGGGGACAGAATTAGACTCATGAACCACCTCCACCGACTGACTCTGACAAGGGAACATTTTCCTGGCTTACACAAGCAGTTTGTTTATTTCCAGTTATTTTCTTCCTCTTATCAAACCGTGGTTTAATGTTGCCTGCATTGTTGCGAAGTAGCAGGAACATTTATAGAATTCAGCAGCCATTCTGAACACTTTTCATTTACTAAATAATGAGTCTTTAATTACTGGCTGACTTAAGCTAGTTTTCAAAGAGTAATACTGTTAACTGCCAGCTATATCTCACAAGGGTGGACAAGAATAGAGTTCTATTTTATTTTATTTTGCTTTCTTTTCTTTTTTTGTTAATTCAAGACCTCAGAGGAGAGTACATCACCCACATAGCTTCCTTGACACTTTGTACTTCAAGTAGATGAATTCCTTCCCACCCTGGAAAGCTGCCAAATCTCTAAATTGACATGTGCTCTGAATAATAAATTTCAGTATGAGGACAATGCCAGGTGCGAGAGGTTTTGATAAAAGGGCATTTGAACTTTACAAATGATACAAAACATTTCCCTTAAGAAACTTTAATAATTAAGTAAAAGGCTCTGTGTGAAACTTTTTATGTTCAATTCAGCTTCCACTACATATTTTAGTGAATAGATTATTCCAGCAATATGTCAGTGGTAAGCTAAGTAGTACGTAATTCCATGTGAGATCTATACAATGGCTGGGCCCCTTCCTTCCATCTGAAACATCCTGCAAACCTCCAGAGATCCTCTAAATTCTAGGATTGGACTGGTGAGCCCACGGGATTATTCAGATGCTAAGACTTATTTTTTTCAGGTGTGTGGTGTCCCTTTTCCTGATGAAGTTTTTGGATCAAACAGGTGCTTACTTACTTCTTTATCTGACATTCAGGATACAGGGCAGATCCTTTTGGTCAAGTTTCGATGCATTTGTTCTGTTTGCATAGATCAAATGCGTTCTCCTAGCCCTGTTTAGAACTATGTAAAACCTTGCACAGACCTAAAAAGAACTGTAGGACATAGGCTCTGTGCTGGGAAATAGCACATTCTTTTTCTTTCCTAAATACGTTTTTCTTTAGAAACAAAACAAATCTCACCGATTTTAAACAGACTTTCAGGTCTTCAGAGGGAGGAAAGCAGCAATCTCTTACTCTAAGTGGTTGAATGAAATTCCTGGATGTTTTGAATATTAAAGCTATTTGAATAATGTTATCATTTTTATGCAGGCCCTATCTAAATAGAATGTTATGCCTATCCTTTTAAAATGAATAAAAACAAAAAAATTAATCTTTCTCTAAAATTCTGTATACTACTTCCAGCTGTCATTGCATTTTTTCCACAGTACATGGTCACGTTTCTAACTGGATAGTTTCATTCCAAACAAGCAGTAGTTCCAATACATTCAGGCTCTGTTTAATTTAGTGGATTGGGCCTCGCAGCTGTATTCAGAGGTGTACTTAAAAGACTGATCCTTTAACAGGGACTAGATGGTGGTGTCATTGTCTTTAAGAGATGACAGATGTATAAGCCACAGTAGGTTTGGAAAGATCTAGAAGAAAATTTGGGGCCTTGTGCATTTAAACCTGACACATATCCCAGTATGCCATATGTTCAGAGTATCAGAGCACTCATTTATAAACAAACTGTCCTGTAGACAAAGAGTCTGTTTCTATATTGAATAGTAAACTGAAATGATCAATAAGCATCTTCTGCCTTTGCAATAAGCTAGGCTCTAATTTAGGGGCTTCGTAGTTTGGTGAGGCCTCAGCTTTTCGGGCAAAAACCTTCATGGCTGTCAGAGAGATTCTCTGTCCCCGTGCTCCGTGCGACTCTACCTTCACCCCATGCCTCTTGTTCTGAAGGTCAAGTAACTTGGGTGTCAGGAGGTTCTCCATGACCTTCTTGGAGCGCACATCTCTTCTTACTCTCAGCTCTCCTGGGTCACTCACACTAGTTTTCAGAAAAAGGATTGCTCATCCTCCGTGAGTTATCAAAGAAATGCATAGTTTACACACAATTACACATCCACATAAGCAAATTGTGTGTGTGTGTGTGTGCGCATGCACACACGGGTTGAAAATCTTCAGAGGCTGCTCTTGTCTTTTGTGGAGCCCCTTGCACAGAGGATTTGAATGACAGACTTCTGCGATGACTAAAGGGAGCTCTTTTCCACTTCTGGTTCCAGAGAAATGTTTTTCAAGGCCACTCACTAAGAGTCAGGTCAAGTTCTAAAGCAGATGACGGCGTTAGGATTGGTTGGCAATTGCAAATGGCAAGGAGGGTCCATCCATTTTTCATGAGGTTATAATTAACACACTCTCTGCCTCCCACAGGGTCAACCTTTGGGAGTGAAGACCAGCCGGCTCTGAAGGCAGCTCTGCCTTCCAAAGACACACCCAAGGGGGCCAGCCGGGCAGCTCCTCCAGCATCCTCCACTGTGACAACACCCCGCAGGAGTTTGCTTCCGGCGCCCAAATCCACAGCTACACCTGCTGGTAAGACCGTGTGCCTTGGAGAAGCTCCACAGTGGAGCGCCTTTTCTGCATTAAAAAGTCTTTTCAAAGCCCCCATGTACATAAGTTATTTAGATGGGATGATAGATGAGTTTCAAATGGCATTTAAAATTAATCATAACATTGGAGGGATGGGGTGGCTGGGTGATGGACATTGGGGAGGGTATGTACTATGGTAAGTGCTGTGAATTGTGTAAGACTGATGAATCACAGACCTGTACCTCTGAAACAAGATAGTTGGAAAGGAAAAATGAAGGGGGGGGATCGGAGGGGGAGACGAACCATGAGAGACTACGGACTCTGACAAACAAACTGAGGGTTCTAGAGGGGAGGGTGTGGGGGGATGGGTTAGCCTGGTAATGGGTATTAAAGAGGGCATGTATTGAATGGAGCACTGGGTGTTATACGCAGACAATGAATCATGGAACACTACATCAAAAACTAATGATGTAATGTATGGTGATTAACATAACATAATAAAATAAAATTTTAAAAAAGTAAAAATTAATAATAATAACAATAATACCACTATTTTCAAGGTACTTTCTCATATTCATATGTTTAAATTCTTACAACTGTCACTCCATCCCCGGCTGGTAACCCATTGAATCATATAGTTTGATTGCAAGAAAACAAACAAACAAACAACCACCACAACAAACAAGAATCAAGCTATTTTAGGCAGATTGGCATTTGGCTCTGGAGTCCCATGTTGGGGAAATCACTGGAAGGACTATAGAACCAAGCTTCTAACCTCCAGGAGGGAGTCATGGAACCCCACAGGAGCTGCGGTCTCTACAAGGATCTGGGAGTTCTGTGCCCCACCTCTGGCTCCAGGCTCACGGCCCCCAAGCTGGGATCCAGGGAGCAGCAGTTACCTTAAAAGGGCTCCAGAACCAAGCTGTGTCTGTTAGACCCAGGCCAGCAGAAGGGATGCCCTGCCCCTCCACACCCATGAAGCTAGTGACTCGAAGCAGGGCAGTCAGCTGGTGCCCAGGTGTAACCAGTGAAGGTGCTTGTCGGGGCAGCCTACATGTTGCCCCCATCTCACCAAGTACGTCTGTTTGTCTGCGGGGTGCCCAAGCTCGCCATTCTGAGCCATCCATCTTCTGCACAATTAAGAAAGTGCACGAAAAGAAAGAGAGGATACGTGTTGAGCCCTAATCCACTGTAGAAGGCTTATCCATATTCATATCTATTCTTCCATATTTTTCATCTATGCTCAAATAATCACATGCCAACATGCATCTATGGGTTTATGTGGGTTTCTATAACTGAGAATTTATTAGCCCCATTTTTCTACATGTTGCTTTCCTTATTCAAAGAGTACATCATAGAAATACCTTCAAATCACGGCATGGCTCATTCTTTACAATGGCTGCCTGGTGTGGATATACCATTATGTATTCAACCATTCCCCACTGTGAACATTCACTCTGTAACTAGCTACGAACAATGCTGCAGCAAATGTCCTTGAACGAGAGGCATTCTTTCTACGAGATTGATTCCTGGGAATGGATGGCTGTGTTTGATGCCTTAATAGGTATCATTAGATTCCTTCTCAAAGTTGCTGCGGTGTTTCACATGTCCGCCCATATCCCTGTGAGGAATAGGTGTGATCCCTTTGTCCATCTGATGGGAGTAGAATACTATCTCAATGTTCATTTAATTTGCATTTCCCTGACCCAGAGACTAGCTGGAGCCCCTTGCTCTAGGATGCAGTGGCACTTTGTAATCCTCTTTGGTTAGACTTAACTTACCTGTTTTGTTCTTCCTCAGAGGAAGGAAAACTTCTGGGGGCCAAGGACCATGTCTGTGTTGTTTTAGCACAGTATCCCCACTGCCTGCTACAGTGATCTATAGTGATCCTTAACATCTATTCGTTAATGATTGGATACATCAACCAATTAATGTATGAATGCCGCATGGCATTTGGATCTTTCAGTTCCAGTTTACTAACAGTTTGGCCTTAGTTTAAATAGAAAATAATTAGGCAAGTTTAAGGGAAGTTGAAATACAGATGTTGAATCGACCCTATAGGCAAGTTTTTCAAATTTTAGTATATTAGGGTCACCTGTCGGGCTTGTTAAAACATGGATTAGTGGGGCTTATCCCCAGAGTATCTCATTCAGTAATTAATAATAATAATTAATATTACATGTATGTATATATATGTATTTACATATATATACACAATGTCCCTATTGTTTAGGAAAAAGGTGGTCTACTCTACGTACTTTTCTCTATCTTGCTTTTATCACATAATGATATGCCCTCAAAATCACCTTCTAGTAGTACACGTTTTCCCATTCAGTAGGTCTAGGGTGGAGCCTGAGAATTTGCATTTCTAATGAATTCCCAGGTGATGCTGCTGCTGATGATCTGGGGTCATGTTTTGTGAACCACTGTTGTAGAAAAATAAGCTAGGAATTTGGACAGTTGTTCTTAGAAAAAGAACATGAAAAGATAATCTACCTCACTCATAAGAAGAACAATGTGAAGTAAAACTACAACGGGCTACAGTATCCCACCTAGTAGATTGGCAAAATTCCAGAAGGTTGAAAACATGTGCTGTTGGGAAGGTGCAGGGAAAAAGGCACTCTCACACATTACCGGTGAGATAGAACCTAGGACGCATCTTGTGCAGGGGAATTTGGCATTATCTAATAAAATCACATGAGCATTTGTTCTTTGACTTAGCAGTCCCACCTCTAGGAATCTTTTCCAAAGGTAGACTAGGAAAAATAAAGGGCACAAGCAGTGCCCAGATTGTGATCTCTAAATACATTTCCCAGTAGAGGCAGATAGGGGTCCTTGAAGAAATGGCTGGTTTCCAGGTCCAGGGCAGGTCCTAGAGCATCTTGCCTTGCCAGAAAGCCAAGAAGAATTCAAAGACTACTAGAGTTATATCAAAAGGACACAAATGTCAAACTGAATAAGCTCTTACTGATTAAAAAAATGTTTGAATATCAATAAGATTCATAATAGCTGCAGTGGATTAATATTCACTAAAATATATGTATATCTACGAGGGCATATGATACAAAAGATAAACAGAAACTAGTCACTTTGGAGGATGCTAGGAAACCACCTGTTATTTTGAAAGCTGGTAAATAAGGAAAATAATAAAATATTTCATCTTCTGTTCAGTTTGTACCTCAAGACAATCAAATAGTTGATGAAGGGAAGTTTCTCTTATAAAAGTATTCTACCTGACAACATAGGATAGCATATCTTTTCACAGCTTCTAGTGAATCAGGGGTGAAGGCAATGAAAGATACAATTGAAAGATACAACTGGACGTTATAAACTATACTGATGAAAATATATATATTATCTGTGAATTGGTTTTGGGGGCAGAATGAATCTGAACTGGCTTCTAGATCTAACTACTAATTTACCGGAAATACAAGGACAGAGAACCATATTAAATAGCGCCATGGAAATAGAATTAGCAGACCCCAACAGTGGGAAACACTATAGGACAAACCAACTGATTTACACAACAACAACAAAAATTGTAAAAAACAAAAAGCAAAAAACAGTTGGGGGGGGTAAAAAGAGACGGAGGGGGAATGCAAAGTATGGATCTTATTTTGGATCCCAGTTCAAATAAACACACCCCCCAATTTTTTTTCGAAGATAACTGAGGAAATGTGAACCTATTGGTAATATTTTAAACATGATGTAGTAATTGTGGTTAGATTTTTTAAAAGTCATATTTTAGACATTCACACTTGCGATGGTATGCTCTCTGGGATTTGCTTTAAAGTAACTCAGGATGATGGCAGGTGGAGTCAGGGTGTTTACAGAAGATGAAACAACATTGACCATATATTGCTCATTGTCGAAGTTGACTAATAGGATACATTACACTAACTAGACCAGTATCTCTACTTTAGTATATGTTGAAAGTGTTATGTAATAATATAGCAAAATGTGTTGAAGGAGTGGTTGTTTTAGTTGAAGTACAGTTAAATGGAAATCAAGTACGTCAGGTGTGGAGGAGAGAAGGAAAGGTAGCAACAGTATTTAAGCCCATAAAATTTCATTATTTTTTCAAATATTTCAGCTACATAAGAGATTTTTGAAAGCTGTGTGATCTTGATAATGGGAATTCTCTTCCACTTTGTATTACTTTATAAATATACTTTAATGTACTAAATCTAATTTTGTCCTCACAAAAACTCTGAGAGGTAGGGAGAAAAGTATTATTTTATAAATTACAGATGGGCAAACCAAGACTCAGGATGTGAAACAATACATTGTTAAAAGATAAATTTTATCACTGAATTTTAGCTTTGCATTTATTCCATTGGTTTGAATTTCTGAGTTAAATGAAATCTAGTTTTGGAAACAAAATCATCTTTCACATTGCCTTGTGTCATCAAGCTACTTAAAAAGCAAAAGGTAGGCATGCAGATTATAATTAAATCCCAAATAATTGGATTTCTTGGGACTATAAGGTGTTTGGGTTTCTTAATTACTTAGATAATGCCAACCCTTGTTTTAACCCATGTTATTGGAAACATTTCTAAACTGCAATGCTTTGCTTCTTTCCCTTGGTGATTCCAGGCTAATGATGGCAGAGCTCTTGTATCTTTGGATCATCTGCTCAATTACTGTCATCCACAATTGTAGATACAACACATACCCACAACAGAACATACCCAGGGAGTACTTGGGCTGTTGCCTTTAACCTAGATTTCTGATGTGAGCTTCTTTTGTGAGTGACTTTTTTCTGGTTCATTCATTCAGGAAACATTGAAGTGCTTATTTTAAGCTGTAGGGTGACTTGGATTCAAGGAAAATTAAAACAGTTCTATTTTTTAAGAAGCTCACAATAAGGTAAACAGTTATGAACTAATAGAGTGAGAGCAAGAGATCTATAATCTTATCAGTGGGATTCCAGTTAATTCTAGCAAACCAAGAATTCATAGTAAAGTGGATTAAGAACCATGACCTGAAGAAGTTTAAGTTAA